GTCTTACTCGGGCGGAGCTCCAATCACCCTTCGCTGGCCTGCTGGGAGTACATTTTCCTACGGCCTCCGCGTTGTGTCCCACTAGCGAAGTCCTAAGGGACGTAGCACCATGACGTAGAATTAATAGTTACTTAATGTAACTTAAGTTCTACGAATAGGTGCGTAGTCCCTTAGCTACGAGCCCATCAGGCCAGCCCGGCTTGGCAGAGTTCAAGAGGGGGTGCGGCCTTGTGCAGGGGCATTTATAGAGGAAGGTGGCTGGTGATTGGAGCAAATTATTTGATCTCTCTGGCGCGTGACCTGGGGGTCACGAGTGATATCCCACTAGCGAAGTCCTAAGGGACTACGCACCTATTCGTAGAACTTAAGTTACATTAAGTAACTATTAATTATAATACAACTTGGATGCAGTAATAAGATCATTAGAAAATAAATCGGGTATAGCATCTTTAAAAGGTTAAACAAAACAAGCGGATCAGGTGGAAATGCACTGGAGGAATGCTAACTTTTTTGAAAAATGCTAATGAAGCATTTATCATTTTACTTTGGACTAGAGCAGAGAAAATGGTCCGAACCAAGCGGCGACTCCACCTTGTGACCCGTCCTGCTCCACCCAGAGGCTACTCCATCTCTTCTTCTGTGACCCGTCCTGCTGCACCCAGAGGCTACTCCACCTCTTCTACTGTGACCCGTCCTGCTCCACCCAGAGGCTACTCCACCTCTTCTACTGTGACCCGTCCTGCTCCACCCAGAGGCTACTCCACCTCTTCTACTGTGACCCGTCCTGCTCCACCCAGAGGCTACTCCACCTCTTCTTCTGTGACCCGTCCTGCTCCACCCAGAGGCTACTCCACCTCTTCTTCTGTGACCCGTCCTGCTGCACCCAGAGGTTACTTCAGCTCTTCTGCTGTGACCCGTCCTGCTGTTGCTGATTACTACTATCTTTAACTTTTTAGAATGATCAATTTTATTTTTTATTTTTGCTGCTACTGGACACCTGAATTTTTCCTACAGGGATCAATAAAGTATCTATCATCATCATAATCATCATCATCAAATAATTCTCTCTCTCGCTCTCTCCTCATGGTTTGGTTCAACCATTTGAACATGTCAAACATCTGCACAATGCCATACTTTCATCTTGGCAAGGCAAGTTTTTTTGTATAGCCATATTCATACACAAGGCAACTCAAAGTGTTGCATAAATACAAGTATAGGTTTTCATACCAAATAAAGACAACAAATAAGAAGCAGGGCAAACCTTTAACAGAGGAAATAGGTTCATTTAGTGCTATGAGTACAAGGGAGAACAGCACTTCCTGCTTTATTAATAGCACTTTGGGCTTAAAGTCGAGAAGAGCAAAGCAGAACACTTTACACGGTAAGCACTTTGTCTAAGAAAACACTGATGGATTCCTACTTTCATGAATATAATTACATTACTAAAGAAGGCAGTATACATCAATAATAAATTAAAACAAATGGCACTTGAGATAATGAGTTCGACCAAAGCATCCTACTTGGTCCTCTCTACTATACTCTACTCTACTCTGATTTTGAGCACTTCCACCGGCTCTGTTTTACCGGTACCAGGTACTTTTTTAGAAGCCAGTTACCAAAGAATTGCCTGGAAATTGGTTTGTTGTGGGTGAGTTTCTACGATGCGGTACAATGGAAATGCACCCAGGTAGAATAGAGCCAAGTAGAGTAGAGTAGAGTAGAGTAGGGCCAAGTAGGCTGGTGCACACTATACACCAACTGGAATATAAACCGCTTCTTTCCATTTCATCCGTACCGCATATATCCGGCTAATCTTGCCCTAACATATCTATTCAAACTAACATAAGCTTTCTGTCTAACAATCTTGTTTGAGGTTTGTGCTAAACAGATGCAGTGTGTTGTCCCATCACAGCCATTCTCTGCTAAATACCAAATACCCGCTTCTGCACACTGCTTTAACCTCATTTATGAACCTGCTCCTGCGTACAAAGATGAGAAAGTAAAGCTCACATTTACGCAGTCAGGAACAGCAGAAACCGGGGCGCAATAACAAGCTGTGTGCACAAATGTAAACGTGACACCCACTCTGATTCCATGCTCTGACAAAACAGCACATCGAAGATGAAGCAACAGTAATTGACACAAAAAAACAAGTCTATAGGTCGCTTGCATTTGTAATAAAAAGCTCCAACAGGGACAGGAGTTAGCCAACACTGGCGCATCATTTGTATCTTTTGCTTTTAAATAAATAAATAAATAAAATTAAAGGGCTGTAATTAATGATTATTTTGATAATTGATTAGTTGCCTGATGATTCTTATGATTAATCAATTACTGGGGAAAGTCATTGAATTGGATATCGTTCAAAAGTTCATTTATTTCTGTAATTCAACTTAAAATGTGAACCCAATAGACTTTACAAATGCCAAACCTTTTTTGTAATAATTTTGAGGATGATTATGGCTCACAGTCCATTTTCAAATATTGTCTTTTGCTCAGATGTTTAACAAGTTGGATTATACATGCGGTGAGCCTTTAAAATCAACACATAAACAACAACATAAAGGAGTGATATACTGTATTGGGGGGTAGAGCATTCAGCCGCTGTGCTCCCCAGCTCTCAAATACATAAATAGGGCAATCATTTATAATAAAATAAACCTATATATTAAAAAAATATATATATAAATACCATACACGTTCTCAAACATAAAATGTATGGCAGCGGAGATGGTTGTGACAAAGGTGAAGTAGCCAGACCACAGAATACCAATGAACATGCATTAGTGTGACTAGTGACCATCGGCAAAGAGTGGCATTGGTGATGGGCTTCCTGTAGCACATTGCAGAAACAAGACGACTGATATAGTTGTGCTGTTTTTTTTTCCTTGTTTAGTTTATGATCAAGTCTGATATATAATCCGTACATTTCTCCAGTTTGAACTCTGTAGTAGTAAGTTTTGTTTTATGTCCAGTTAATGATAAACTCAAAGAAGATTAATTGTATTAATCCGTAGGTGAATGTTGTTTCTTGATGTTTTGAAGCTTTTCTTCAGATGGAAAATGTAACTATTATTATTTTTTTTCACGTAAGAGTACAGTAAAAATGTTAAAGTACTGTATGGATACAATACTCTAAGACGTACAGTTACTTCTATAAGTTACTCAAGTTCATGTACTTGAGTAAATGTAATTGTTTTTGTTTTGTTTTGTTTTTCGGAATTATTATTTTGGATACGGACTGATTGTGCAGTATCACCGGGAAATGTAAATGTATATCATAGTGATTACGGTGTAGGCGTATATATAAGCTTCTGGCTTCAGCCTACTCCTTTTCTTTTTTGGAGCGCCTCTAATAGAATGATGTAAATGTGAATGTTAAAATGTAAACGGCTCAAAAAAGAAATAAATAAATAAATAAAATAAAAAATAAAAATAAATAAATAATGGGCTTTGTTATTAATTGATTAACTTTTTGCAGCACTATTTTCTAATGCAACATTCAAAGTGATAAGTGTGAAACTGTTCAAGACACCTTTTCCTGTGTAACGTTGATATACTGTACTTTCTTTGCTGTTTCATATGCTCATTACAGTGGGAGGACGTGAGCGATGGCCACTGTCATATCTCCTTGGTCACTTGTTCTGCTCTGCGGTAATTTCATATTTGCAGGTAGGTCTAAAGAACATTATACTACAAATACATGACATGACATAATCATTTTGGCATTTATTTTTTAGCATTCTCAGACCTGGTTAATGTCACAGCATCAAGAGGAGAGAGGGTCAACCTCAAATGCAACACTTCACAGACAAATATTACTCAGCTCAACTGGGCCAGGGGCAAATATAAGTTTGCATATTATAATGGCAAAAATATTTCAAATTTTACAGAGCATTTTCAAATAACATTGCAAAGTTTAATTGTTTTGGACTTTCAAGAAAATGACACTGGAATCTATACGTGTGTTTTAAATCACAAAAATGGCGAAGAAGTCACAATATTCAATTTAACATTGCGTCAAACTAAAGGTAGGTGTATAGCATTCAAACGTATCAGTGTTTTTCCAATGTCATCTTCTGATCCCCTGATGGTAACAGTCCATGCAGCAGTGGGCCTGTCTTCAGCGCATGTTCTCATCATATCCATACTGGCAATCAGCGGGGGACTGTTTTTCATCATCACTTCTGCTGTCGTCGTAGGTTGTTGTAGGTGAGTACAACCAGGAAAATAGTTAATGGGTAATTTGTAACACAGAAAAAGTAAATATTGTCTAATAATACAATGATAAAAAGTCATTGTCTCAGGATGTCAGAGTTGATCATGATTTTACGTGTTGCAGATTATGGAGATCAAACCAGACACCGAGTCAAACAGTCGCACAGACAAGAGCAGAGGTCAGAGGAACTAAACATTTTATTTGAATTCAGGCCTCATCTCTCTTTCTTCTCCTCTCCTTTAGGGCCCACCACCAGATGGCGCCGTTGATCAATACTTAGAGAGGATCAATTCAATCTATAATCTATAATAATGTAGTAAAGGTGCTGTTGGGCTAGTATAAATGTCAACATGATCATTCGACAAACCATTGTATGATTTATGCCGTTTCCAACCGTGAAAACAAAAAAGCTCATGATCATTTAGATTTTTTTTTCATGTATCAAGCTTTTAGGCAGCCAGATTCAGGCTAATATATATTATGTATGTATACACACACACACACAGCCGTGATCTATATATTGGATTTGTGTGGGTGTTGCGTGTGCTTCATGACCAAGTATGACCATGTTGTCTTCATTCACTTTTCATCGACAGTGCTGTTGAAGTTTTTCTAACGTTACTAGTTGTTACGACAGCATCTGAAAATAACTACAAAGTGTGATCGGCCAAAGACAACATTAAACGTGTGAAAAAGACAGATGCATGAATGTTTATATCTAGATTGGTTGGCTGCCTGTTCCTTAGGGGGTTTCTTCTGCCCACAGCACATTCAGAAATACCCATTTCAGTATTTTGAATCTCCACTGGTGCATTATCTTCTTCCTCCATATCCTCCAATGGATCCTCCTCCCCGCAATCCTCATCAGAGCCAATCCTTGAATCATTGACACCCTCAGTTCCATCCTCCACCTCATCTGCCGATAGTTCAGACTCCAAGGGAAAAAACATGCACTGGGTAAGAAGGTTTCCGTGGACCACTCTTTGCTTTTCACCATCTTCTGACTGAATGACATAAACCGGGACTCCAGGCTGTTTCTTTAGGACCAGGTAAGGCTTGGACTCCCACCGGTCCCCCAACTTCTGCCGACCTTCAACGGCGCAGACTTTGACTAATACTCTGTCTCCTGGAGCAAATGTAAGACTTTTCTTGACCCTGCTGTCATAATGCTTCTTTTGCTGCAGCTTGGCTTGTCTGGAGCTTATGTTGGCTTGAGCGTAAGCATGCTTTAGGCAGTCTTTGAGGTCCTGAACATAATCGCTGTATTCACAGGGGTTGCTGCCGTATGTTAGACCAAAGACCAGATCGACAGGAAGTCTTGGATGCCTGCCGTACATTAGATAGTAGGGACTGTAGCCTGTCGAATCATGTTGAGTGCAATTGTATGCATGTGTCATTGCATCAACATACTCGCTCCAACGAGGTTTCAGAGGAGGTTCCAGCGTGCCAAGCATATTCATGAGAGTGCGATTGAACCTTTCTGTGATCCCATTTCCCTGAGGATGGTATGGGCTGGTGTGGGTTTTGGTGATGCCTGTGATTTTACAAAGGTCTCGAACTATGGCACTCTCAAAATTACGTCCTTGGTCGGAATGAAGCCTTGCTGGGAAACCAAACCGGCAAAAGAAGTTTCTCCAAAGCACCTTAGCCACTGTGGAGGCCTTCTGGTCCCTTGTTGGGTATGCTTGGGCAAAGCGGGAGAAATGGTCTGTCACCACAAGCACATTCTCAATTTGACCCACAGACTTCTCTAGTGTGAGGAAATCGATACACACCAGCTCCATGGGGGCAGAGGTATGTATACTGACTAGCGGGGCATGGAGACCAGCAGGAGTCTTTCGAAGACAGCAACGCTCGCAACGCTCACACCACATCTTAACCTCTTGAAACATCCTTGGCCAGAAGAAACGTTCTCTTATGAGAGCAAAAGTTCTTTCAAACCCGAGGTGCCCTGATTCATTGTGCAGGGCAGTCATCACTCCTGTCTGAAGATTCTGAGGTAGGACCAACTGATTGATGACTCCTTTACGACTGTCCCGGACTGTGCGATACAGAGTTCCATCTCTCACAACCAACTTCCTCCACTCTTTTAGGAGAAGGGAGGCCTGTCCTCCCCAAGCCTCTCTCTCTCTTTTGCTTGGTTTGGAATTAATTGCTTTGTAGCTCAACACTGGTCCCATAACAAGATCTTCCCTTTGAGCCGCCCGGATGTCCTGCTTGGTCATTGATGGGAGACATTCAGTACCAGTATCAGCGTAGGGCTCTGACTCTTGACTGGGCACAAGAGGCTCAGACTCTTCTGCCACCCTCTGTGGGCACGACAGGGCCCTAGCCACATCATTGCATGACATTCTTGAGAGTGCATCTGCATTAGCATTATTCCTTCCCTGACGATACTGAATGTCGAAATCAAAGCCTGACAACTGTGATACCCATCGCTGACCAGTGGCGTCCAACTTGGCAGTGGACATGACATATTTCAAAGGGTTGTTATCCGTCAGCACAGAGAACTTATGTCCATAGAGATGGTCGAAGAACTTTTCAGTTGCAGCCCACTTTAGAGCTAAAAACTCTAACTTGTGGGCTGGATAACGGGTTTCTGGTGGACTTAAACCTCGACTAGCATAAGCTATGACCTTCTCGACCCCATTCTGAACTTGCGCCAGGACCGCTCCCAAGCCTTCTCCGGAGGCATCAGTCTGCAGCACGAATGGCAGTGTGTAGTCCGGGTATCCAAGTAATGGAGCTGATGTGAGTTTTTCTTTCAGGGTGGTAAATGATCTTGTACACTCATCAGTCCATAGAAAGGGAGGGTCAGGTACAGTGGTTCTTTTCGTACCCCTTTTTTTCTTTCTGGGGTCACCAGAAGTGAGGCGGTAGAGGGGTGCAGCAATCTTTGCATAGCTCTCCACAAACCTCCTGTAGTACCCCGCAAACCCCAGGAAACGAAGGACCTCCTTACGGTTTGTTGGCTGTGGCCAGTCCTTCACCTTGCTTATCTTTTCAGGGTCAGTGCGGATACCTTCTGCACACACCCGATGCCCCAAGTATTGGACCTCCTTTTTCATCAAGTGGCATTTTGAGGGTTTCAGTTTAAGGCCATGTTTACGCAGTCTGTCAAACACCAACTGCAGGCGTTGCAGGTGTCCCTCAAAATCCTTGGAAAATATTATGAGGTCATCAAGGTAGATAAGGAGGTGCGAGTAGTTCAAGTCTCCAAAACAGCAGGTCATCAACCTCTGGAATGTTGCTGGGGCATTCTGTAAGCCAAACGGCATACGATTTGCTTCAAAGAGGCCCATAGGCGTGGTGAAAGCCGTTTTATGTTTATCCTGCTCTGCCACCTCCACCTGCCAATACCCCGATGTCAAGTCCAAGGTGGAAAAATACTGTGCTTGTCCAAGAGCTTCCAGAGCGTCTTCGATCCTAGGAAGAGGGAATGCGTCCCTTGTACTGCAGGAATTCAACCTCCTGTAGTCGACGCAAATCCTTAACGTCCCATCCTTCTTAACTACAACCACAATGGGTGACGCATACGGGCTCTTACTTGGGCGGATGACACCGGTGTCTTCCATGTCTTTTAAAAGATTGCGGACATCTTGCCATTGAGCAGGTGGTATTTTCCGATAGGGGAGACGGAACGGCTTGGGATCAATCAGAGGGATTTCATGTTGTACTGTCTTTGTGTGCCCAAAATCCATGGAATGTTGGGAGAATACATCACGGTTCTTTAGCAATAGTTGCCTCAAGCTTTCCCTCTGCTCCTCATTTTCCACTGCAGCCCCACTTAGATCCACTGGACATGTGACAGTGTCCCTGCCCTGAGTCGCCTGCACAATCTGATCTTGAATATGACATGTTTCCATCTTGGAATCCCCAGAGCACTCCCCCTCATTACTCCACTGCAACACATCTCTAACGAGAAAAACATTTGCAAGACAAGTATGTGGTTTAATCAACACTGGCTGGACAGAGAGGTTCATTACTCGGACTGGAACGACGCCCTTCCTGACATAGGCAAGCACTCTGCCCACTACTAGGCCCTCTGGCAGCTGAGAATTTACGTTACATTCAATCAGCGCAGTGTACGTTTTCTTTCTTGGCCCCCCTTTTACCCGGCACATCACGTTCATTTCTTTGCTTGCAGGGACACACATTTTACTGCCAGTATAAACCGCAGGGCCAATGCGGTCGTCGAAACCACAAGGTTTTGTGCCACTCACCTCTGTCAAGGCAGAGTACCATTCTGGGTGCTTCTCCTGTACCATAACCAGGAATTGTTTTCCATATTGGGATTCAAAATGGCTTTTGGAGGCACGTATGACATTAGTACCCACTAACAATGGAACTCCAGACCGGTACTCTGTTACCGGAACAACAAAAGCAGGCACATTGGCAAAGTCTTTCCCCGGAATGTTGAGATTTATGTATAAAAAACCAAAATGGGGAATAGTATGGCCTCCAGCCCCCTCCATTGGGATGCTAGACTCTTGTATCTCCTGCATACACAGCTCAGGGTGTGAGCGCCAGAAAGTGTCTGTGATGGTGGTCACTTGAGAACCAGAATCAATGAGCGCCTTACAGGACATTCCATTAACTTCAACCTGTCCCTCATTTAAAGGTCCGACAAGTGGGGTTTCCAATTCCTTTTGGGGGATCAGATGCATGCCCATGGTTGCCCCAGTCACCACAGGCTTTAGGAGTTTAAAGGCTGGCCACCTGTGATAGCGCCACTATCCGATGTGACAGCGGCGTACGATCCAGCACTGGTAGAGGGCTCATTTTCAGGTAGCACCGCCCTACAGGACCTGGCCAAGTGTCCAGGTCTGCCACAGCGGTGGCACACTATGGTGGCTCTTCGGCTAGGGTCTCTGGGTCCTAAATTCGGCTTGAATGGTGAGGTGGGAGGGGTAAACTTTGTCTCCAACTGAGCAAGCCTTTTACTTTGTTCTTCTTGATGCAGTGCGATACTTTTCACGAGGTCTGTAAGTTCACGTAACTCAGAAGATTGCTTCCCCGTTTCAGCTCTCTCAGTTGCTCCACTTACTTGCCTATTTGTGACAGTCTGGACCTGGCTGAAAGTCTTCTTCTGCCTCGGCTGGTTGAACTTCTTGGCTTCTCTGGCTATATTCCTGAGCTCGTTCTGTAGCTCCCGAAAGCATAGCATTCTCGGCTTCATGGGAGCAATCCTCAAAAAAACATCCTCTTCAATCAACCCCCTCATGAACTGTCGCACCAGTTTTGCATCACGATCTGGGAATGGTCGGCCCCTGTTTTGGGTGTCTTCCACTTCTCTGAGCTCTAAAGCAATGGCAAAAGAACAGGCTGTCTCCCCTGAACGTTGGGTTCTCTCATAAAAGTCGGCCAGGGGATCCAGAGATCTCTGCATGTCACCATATTCTGACCGTAGTTCATCAAAAGCCCTCCCCGGGACTTGCTCTATTGGGGGGAGGTTTAGAACAAGCCTTCGTGCCTCTCCACTCAAATGCCTGACAATGGTTGCAAAACTGAGGTGGGATGGTAGGGCACCTGCATCTAAAAGATACTGCATGTCTCTGATCCAGTCCTCAATCACTTGATGAAACTGAGTGAAATTGGCTGGGCTGGCCAGGAAAGGGGGAGGCGCCTGGATCCCTGCACACTCATGTGGATAGGCGCTAGCCTGCATGTGGTATGGAGCTGGTTGTGCGATGGATGGGTATGTTTGAGTAGCGTGCAGAGAGGCTTGGGTAGCAGGTGTGTTATTAACCCTCACTGGTTGCTGGCTTAGAACAGCGGCATGAGGTGCCATACTACCCGGACTAATAATGCCTGTGTTTTGTGGGTACTTTTCAAAAGCAGTTAACATTGGCCCACCGTAACTGCCCTGGGGATATTGGTAACTGGGTGTGTGGACATGGCGTTCTGGTACCTGCATGGGGGTTCCCCCAGTCATCAGATTGAGGTGAAGAGGGTTAGACTGTGGAGGCGTGGGCAGAGCATTATATGCCATATTCCAGGGTGATAATGCCTCATGCTGTTGGGCATACTGCTCCGAGTGCTCAGACGGATTCATCAAAATAACTGTTTGGTCCAAAGTCTGGATCTCTCCTTCTGCCACACCTGGTCTGTCTGGCTGGCGGTATAACTTTGGCCTCACCGCAGGGGGAATCGTGGGAATGGGGCGTCGAGGAGTATCTTCATGGAGGTTTTGCACATTACCTTGCATGTTGATTAATTATAACGTGATATCAATCTCTTAAACCGATGAATCAATATTACAGAAATATTCACAACATAGCATTCAATCACATAAAAAAGCACTATTCAACAATGAGAAAAAAATAATGTAATAAAGAGCATATAACTGAAAACTGAGGATACAGCTTATTATGATGTTAACAGTCCACAGAGTTGTCCGCTCTTCCTCTTATAAACCACCATCCGGGTCACGGCACCAAAGATGTAACCCTAGTTCAGCGATGGCAAGCCCCAGGTGTGATCTCTGCGTTGTGTTGTTTGTGTTACTGGTCAGGGGCCAGCAGTGCGGATAGGGAAACCAGGAGTCAATGGTGGAAGAGGCTGAACAGACGTTCCTCATTTATTGCCTTCATAAAAACAAAAGAGAACTGCCCCATTAAGAAGAAATTGTAACTGTTTTTGCAGTAATAAATTGTACATTCAAAGGCTGAATTGTAAAGTCCACATGCTAACAAGGACACGTGCAAGCTAGCACTCTAAAAACGAAATACAAAGTTATTTTTCCCACTTAAGTTTAACAGAGAAACAGCCTAAATGTACAATGACAAAATGCTAACCCACAATCAATATTTGGCACCCAACATACATTTATACACAAATAAACTTATTTTACACTCGGGAGCCCTCCTTACCTTCATAAAAACAAAAGAGAACTGCAGCGTTGCGAAGCTGCGGAGGGCTTATATAGTTAAGAAAACAAAGGGCGCCCTCTGTTGGCGCACGGACACATTACATCCTTACATCTATAATAACTGAAACTAGTAAAACAAACTTTACAGCTCTTTTCAACAATGCAAAGTCACTCTCATTAAAGTGTGTTATATGTGTCAAACTCTTTCTAATCTCCTATTATTTTCTTTCCACATTATTTTAACCAATGAGTAGATTTGATCATCTCCAAAACACACTAAACAACATCTGAAGGTACACCCAGATCCATGAGGTACACGCTATAGCCATGGTATTCGAGTATTCTGACTCATTCCTCCAAACCGTGAGAGGCAGTATCGGGTGTTTGTCGGACTCTTTTGTTGGCTTTAGATCCATGGCCGTACCTCAGATTCTACTGTAACCATGGATTGTCTATGATTGGGACCGACTGTAATTTAACACAGGCACAAGACATTCTTGTATTGTGCGATGTACATTTTACTGGTTACATTTTTGTTTCTACAGAACACTGCGATACAAGGTAAGATCCGCCATCTAACCTTCTATGTCTGTGTCCATTGTTTGCACTCACGTGACAATATGAGAGGACGACCTTACCGCCTCTCATCAAAGTTTCTGACGGTAAAATATGCTGTTCATATTTTGCAATTACACAGAAAAAAACAACTCAAAATCTCTTTGAACTAGTTACTGGTTTTGAAATCAATCTTCAGACATACGAAGTGAAAAAGAAAGATCAGCTCAAAGCGTCAAACTGACTCACGATGAAGAATGTTGTGTCTGATTTGTTCACAAGACGAGAAACCATTTATTTGTATAGCACAGTTTAGGCACAAGTAAACTCTGAGTTGACTTGTAAAATATAAAATAAAATAGAAACAATCTCACCACACATTAATATCATAAATAATCACAGTACATTAACAAGATACAATTCTTCAGCAGTTAAACAGCAGCTAAACAGAACTGTTTTAACCTGGATGTGAACACTGACAAATGTCTGTCTCACATTTTTACAAGACTCTGATGAACAAATGTATTATTAAAGTGATTGTCCGGTGAGCGAGTTCTACTTACTCATAGATCAAAATGCTTGAAAGTGGGCGTGGCTCAGATATTTTTCACAATAAAAGTCCTCTGCCTCTGCGGGATGTCCAAAGTTCGAAATACAGACACATTTCACGTAGTGTTTCTGAGGAAGGATTGCTATTAGATATAATCAACGTAAAGTCAGACGTGTTGTTGCTGTTCCAAATACTGTCTGTGCCTCGCGAACTGTTTCCCACTACACTGATCTGGACAGCTGCAAGGTGCGCAGTTTGGACTGTGGTGTTTTCATTCACTAAACATGCTCACAACAGCAATGTACAAACACATGTTCATCGCCTGCTCTAACATACTGTTCTCATAGACTACAGTCATAAGAAATGTTGATTAAGAAAAGCAAATTACATGTGGAATTAGGGGTGGGCGATATGGCCTAAAATTCATATTGCGGTATAATTTGGGACACAGACGGTAGACGGTATATATTGCGGTATAATTTGGTGTGTGAATTTCAATATAGGTCTAGCAAGTTCTTGAGACCTGATTTAAATAAGTAACAATCTTGACTATTGCATAAAAGTCAAGATTGTTACTTATTTAAATGTATTGTGCAAAACTGCAACTATACAGAACATTATAAAACTTTAACTTCCAAGCAGCATTTCTGGGTTTCAACCACATGACCAAAAGGGGGTGGGACATGTGTCCGTAGGACAGGAAGTATTTTTCTCCTATTAAATAGAATGGGCAATGCTGGAAAACGCAGACATGGGAGCTTTTCGCGCCTTAGTATCACTCTTATTATATGAGTGAAAAATATTTTAATGCAGCGTACGCTTTTTAGTGTTTGAATGAGTCAATTTTTTTAAACAATGAGAAAGATTAAGGCTGTTTATAGTGAACAGGGATCAACAGATACACGTCTGAGATGACAGTTCTGATCAATAACACAATAAATATAGCATAAATGTTACTTTAGACAGCATTTGAAGCGAGAAATCTGATCCTTTATTGTCTTTTCGGTGATTTGTTGAGCTGTAAATAACCAAAAGTACGGAGCTCCAGGGGAAGCTCCGCTATTAGCTTAGCTCCGTAGCGTTAAGCTAATAGCGTTAAGCTAACAGCAGGGGCTGCAATTAGAAAATGTATTTAACAGTTCTTTCTTTTTGTTGCCTTGGCTACTACAACCGTATACCACACAAAAATACTGCATTGTATCTATGAAAGTACACGAAGTAAAGACTGCAGACTGTCAGCTATCTCTGTGGCCGCAGATGCTACGCAAGCTAATGCTAATGCTAGCGCATTTCTCCCGTTCCTTATAAGGCATTTTCCTAAAAATTGACACCCGTTAGAGAAATATTTTTTAGCAAAGTAGAGACTCAATAGGTTCCCCACTTGATATGAGCAGTTGCCACAGCTGTACAGCAATTTGATGACATAACTATCGCACTATGCCGGTATAACAAAAATCTCTACCGTTGGCCAAATTTATATCGCATACCGCTTATACCGTTTATATCGCCCAGCCCTATGTGGAATTAATGCTGTATAGGTGATCACTATCACAAACCAGGAAAATGACGTTCGGGTTGTATGAATGAGCAATAATGTGACTAATAATGAGCATGAAACTGTGACAGGACGAACGTGTGTGTAAAACATGACAGCAGCAAGAGGTTGTCAATGAAAGACGACAGCAGACGGTGAAACACATGTTGTATTTGTAAAGTGGGCTAGATCCACCTGCGTGTCTGCGTACGCTCACCCCGCTACATCTTTGAAATGCGCTGCTTTCGTCGCGATTTCATGACACTCTTCGTGTGCCCTACTGCTTATTTAACATGTCCTAATGCTAACGTGGCTCTGGACCTGGCTCCGAGTTTATACATCGCTATTGTGAGTGCCTTTGGTGAGTGGACACACCACTGTCCCACCTCAGCTCCAGGTTAACTTGCAGACCTTGCAGCTGCTCAGGTCAGTGTTGTGGAACGCTGTTGCCATTCACTAAGTCATTAGAAATGTTGTTCAGGTTATACTCCCCACAAATGAACAACTTTGACAATAAACTGTGACGGAGCAACGCGTTTAAAACATGTCCGCAGCGCGAAGTAAGAGAAATGCAGCGGAGACGTCTCTGAAAGAGGATTTGCAGCCGCATCAGCAGGTTAATCTGCCGCTGTCCACATCAACGCCGATGATTGACAGCCCTTGGCATGACTTGATTGGTTAACCTCTACGGCACCGTGGATTCTGAGCTATAGCTAAGAGCAGGGAAGGCGGGACTTGCCCGTAATATTAGAATTAATAAAATGACTTATTTTATATCAACATTTAAGGCCAGGAGGTCAATTTAACACATTTCCTAAAATGTGTTATTAATTTAGAGTTACAGACTATCACTTTAATGAAGAAAATATAGTTAGGTACTCCAGGTTCCTTTAATTTGCCAATGAATGAACTTACTGGCCTATATTAAGATGATGTAGAGATGTAACATAAAGTACATGGCATATTGCTTTATATAGTTGTGGTTTTTTGTAGTTTTATTTAGTTAGCCTATGATGTGGCTATCATTGCGGGATCCATTCATCCAGCACTGTGCCAACTAAAAACTTATATTAATTGTGTCTTTATAATTACAGCTGCACGGGTGATTGGAGGAAGTGTGATCGTGGTCCAAGGTGACAGAGCTGTCTTCCCCTGTCTTCTCACTGAATCCACTGAGAGCCTGACTCAGATCACATGGCAGAGGAAAACCAGACAGATCCAGTCCAACGCCAACTTCTTCACAATTTTGCCTTCAAATGGTCCGATTTTTTTCAATGGGCACGATGAGAGATTCAAATTTCTTGGAAATATTTCCATGGGAAATGGATCATTACAGCTGTCCAATGTGTCAATGTCTGATGAAGGGACGTACACATGCATATTTACTTTGTTTCCTAGCGGTAATTTCAAGACCGAGATACCGCTGAATGTACGAGGTATTACGCAGGTTGGTTCTTAAATGATTAGTTCTTTGATGCCTTGACTTTTATCTGCTTTGTTTTTTCAGTACCTCCTAAAATATTTCTGAAAGACAATTTCCTTGTTGTTGGGAATGAGGAGGTAGTTGTTGCCTCTTGCACAGCTGCTGATTCTTGGCCTCCAGCAACAGTGGACTGGCGTTTAGGAAATGTGTCTGAATTGTTACGAATAACTTACGACTCCACTGATAACGCAGATGGCACCAGCACAACAATCAGCACATTGTTGGGGACTCCCACAAGAAACCTCCACAACCGTCATGTACAGTGTGTGATAAAGAGTCCAGCATTTCCTGATGGGCGCACACTACCTCTCATCCTCCAGGTCCATTGTGAGTATTTGTGTAGTTTGTTTAATAAACCATTATTATTCATGCTGTCACAGGCTTCTCAAAAAGAAGGAAAGAGGCAAACCACAATAGTTTCTCAAGCAATTATCCAACAATAACGAGATGGGAGAGGAAAGAATTGTTCCTAACCTACCCTGTTCTTCCTGTTTTATCAGGCCTGAGGAAATGGCCCAAAACTTAAGCCGTTTGTGGCTAGTGAGACAATAGAGTATCAGGAGCTACAGAGTTGTGCGGATCTTAAAGTTATTGTATAATAATATAAAACATTTACCGTTACTAATACAAATGATTGAGTAGGATTTTACTCAACATTAGCAATTAGTGTATTGTTACAACTGTGGGAACAATGTGCCTGTTGTAATACTGCTCCGATCGTTCCTCATGAGTCATAAGCAAATACCTTAGTACACACCCATTTACACCCACCATTAACTTTTAAACTGAATGGTGTGATTAATTGATTCATGCATTCCGGGATTACTTTGGGATTCCCCTTTTCACTGCTCTTTTTTTTTCTTTTTTCCTAGTTCCACCGAGTGAAGTCACATTGAAAGAAATATCCAAAACCTCATTTGAATGTCTGAGTGAAGCCAACCCCAAGCCAAACTACACCTGGAGCCGGTATAACATGTAGTTTATGTTCCTGTTTCTAACCATTTTATATATATATATATATTTATATATATATATTTTTTTAAAGCAATGAATATGTTCTGTTCAATTCAGTTGAATCATTATTATTCATATTATTTGTTTTAGAATTGACTTCTCGTGGCCAGACTCTGCAGTGGAGGCCAGTGGTGCAGTGCTGGAGATTACCAGACCCTCTGCACAAGTCAACGGCCTGTATCTGTGCCAAGCCACCAACACGTACGGGACGCAGCAGGGCCACCTCTATCTGGCTTTATCTAGTGGAGGTAAATGTCAGAACGTTGAATAAATGGCCATAGGAAAGCATACAGGATAGCGTCCCTGAATTGATTGAGATGTTTGAGTTTTGTCATGAACTGGCTCGAGGTTCGGACAGAAATGGAGTCCACACATGTTTCAAAATGAACAAAAATAGAATATTTATTAAAAAAGGCTGCTACTGCCAGGTGAGAGAGAGCCCCATTGACTTCCTGACAGCACTTTTGAATGTGGCCGGTCTCGCATTCAGCCAATCAGCTCTCCCATTGGCTGGATCCTGAAAGGAGGAAAAAAGCTAGCAGCAATACACAAACCAGACAAGACTGGGTTGTCACAGTTTCAAGTCTTCCGTAACATGTCTTGACACGTCTGTGGTGGTGTCATGTTGATGGCAACACCTCATAGATTCCTCTGGGTCTACACACCCACACAGAGACATGGGAGCTGCTCTATTGTTCCTGTTCAATGCACTTGACACTTGATAGCATCACATTTAACAGTGCATTCAGTTTGTTTCATCATTGCACAATATGTAAAATTAGATAAAATAGAATTTATTGATCTTACAATGGAGAAATGTGTGTATGTTTGATTTTTGAACAATGGACTTTTACACAACAGTTTTCCATGTAATTAGTCACATGCAAAACTGTGTTGTGTGACACTATTCTTTTCCTGCAGGAACCTCTCTTGCTGGCTGGATCTTATTCTTTATTTTACTTTCTGTCACTTTTGTTTTTGTTGCATGGTGGTACTACAGGTACAGGCATTTTTCATTCATATTTTTCAATTGTTATATTTGTATACAAACTGAAACTGTGATTATTTTAGGTCGAATACAAAGTTTGTGGTGCCCTGTTTGAACACACAAGAAAATGAACCCAATCAACAGTGGACGGCGGTGAAGACAGAAGAACAGCATGTGCCTTTAGGGGCCTCACCTGTGTCTGAGGAGCAGGCAGAGGTGTAGAAGTAAGCTTAGAACCATGCAGCTAATAACTAATGACTTTCTGTTTACTCAAGTCATCTGGGACCATTTTACTTATGCTTTTGTATTCTATTATTTAAGGTCAAAGTCATTCCAAAGTTCACTCAATAATGAAATATTATATTAAATTAGATTAGAAATAATACATTTAAACATTTCTTGTTAGTTGTGTATATTCTTTCTATATTCTTTCTAGATTTAAATATCTTGAATAGTTGTATTCCACATATGACTTGTAGGGAATTCTAAATGTAGTTACAGAGAATTAGTATATGTGACGAATTTTCTATTTATTGTTTCAAGTTACTTTGAAGACTCAAGTATACCTAGGTCTTCAAGTATAATTTAGCTTTGTCCATTATCGATGTAGGTTTTTCTACATGGTTTTAGTTGGAGTACACATGGTGGCTTTGGCTGTGCCTCCCCTCCAGACAGTTTTCATAAATTTCTTGTGGCTGAAATGACCAAAGAAAGAATATTTTACATTTAATAGCATTTACTACAAATAACTACAAATATTGTTACCTTCTGAGATTCATACACAGTATTTACCATTACTGCTGCAACGGGGCGTATGCTTTTCCTGCAAAGAGAAAACGTGTTTGGAGCTCATCTTACAATAGCTTCTAGACCTATGGCTATAATAAACCTACCTACTCACTTACCGACATAGTTTGAAGAGGATAATGGTTAAACCAACAACAAAAATACTCCCAACACTGATTGCAGAAATAATATATATAAGAATAGAAGGAGATTCTTCTTCTTCTTCTGTATCTGGAAAGAAAATTGTTTCAGTTCAGGCTTTGAGTTCAATGTTGATATATGTGTGTTCATGGGATAAAACCCTTAAGTCTTGTGCTAAATAATATACTGGGAGAAAAGCTTAGACAAATGAAGCATTTATTTACAAGATGTAAATACCTCATGTCGGTAACATGGTTAGAAACCAGGAAGTTGGACACTACTTTACAATTCTACAAACTGGGAGACCTAGATTCAAATGATGTACATATTGAATAGATCCCCTTTAACTATGTGTTAATCAAATAGGTACACAGAAGAAAATGGATGGAAGTACGCTAGCCTGTCATGTGGGCTTTAATAATAATGTTTTTTATGCGAATGCCAACTTTGTTAAATCAATATAGTTACTATAAAATTATATATATATATATATATATATATTTTATATATATATATTATATATTTTATATATATATATATATTATATATTTTATATATATATATTATATATATATATATATTTTTATATATAATAATAGGTATAGTTGTTACATGGAGTGAGTATATTCATCAGAGTTGAAGGGTGTAATGGATCATTGTTGAGCACCTGCTTTTGTGCATTTCTTTTGTACCATTTCTGATCCAGTCCCACCACATTTCTATGGTTTAAAGATATATAAAAACAACAGTTTTTAAATCTCATCAGTGGGCTCAGTTATGAAACACTTGATGCGTCTTGAAAGCCTTTGTCGTCCAATGTTTTAGTCCATTAGATTTCACACTAAACTGAACAATTTTGGAAAAATATCAATTTTAAAAACAGTGTAGGATTTAAAATGACTTGATTTCAAGATGTTCTGTTGAATTTCAGCAAACATTACAAATGTGATATTACAGAACTGGGAAAAAAAAAATCGTTTTTGTATGTGCAGCTCCTTATACATGAAACGTATTACAAAAAGACTAAATTAAATTAACTGATATTATTTCATTGAATGCTTTTAAGACATGTAACTGTTTTAATAAACTGCATTTTTTTAATGAAATTGTGTGTAACTTTTGCTGCCTCTTGTCCAGGACTTTCCTGGTTAAATAATCATTAAATAAAAAATAGAAATATATTTAAAAGATCTGTGAATTTTTTTTTTAAAGCGGGGGACCTAACTTTCAAACCACAAAAAAACCGAGTTTCACTTTCAAAACATTTCCTCCCTCTCTCCAATCTTTATAATCAATCTTTTCAGCCAGAAAAGTGATCATGAGAGGCCTGTCCTCACTCAGCCTGAAGCGTCATATTGTGACTCACAGGGCTTTCTTTCACCAGTGTGATTAGATTACAGTATTTGACTTTCACGTCCTCTTTCAAACAAGTGTTATTTATAGGCAAAAAGTTAGGTACCCCAGCTTTAATTAAAAGTCAATGGCTCATGTTGTGTTTTTGTGGCTCAACACACCAATAATGTTGAGTTCCCATGTCTTCTCCCACACTCCGGAGCCTGTGGTGGTCTGACAGGAGTAGTTGCCTCCATGGTGCCTCTGTACAGTGTTGATGATGAGTGCATAAGAATCTGCTTCAGATGTCGACATATTCATTTGGAGCTGGCATTCTTGACAGTGCCAGTGTTTCCGTGGCTGTGGCGCAAACGTTACAAGTGGGGTTTTATTCTTGAACCATGTTAGCTGGGAAAGAGTGTCTAGAGAGTCATCTTGACAGAATAGGTGGACCTGGCTCCCTATAATGGCAGCTACAGTGTTGATGTCTGAAAGGAAAAACACAAATTGTGCAATGAAAGTAGAAGTGCATGTTTGTGTGGAAGTTTGTAAGATACCTGCGTTTGATGGAATCCAGAAGTATGACAGGATAGTGATCAAGCAAGAGAACCTGTGAGATGTTTCCATTGCACCTACCTATGTTTAACAAAAAGTCAATATTACAGAAAACCTCATGATAAAAGAATTACATTATCATTATCATATCAAAAGTAGATGAACTGTGTAACTTAGAAATAGAATATCGTTCAAAAGTTTACTGTAATTCAATTTGCAATGTGGAACTATAGGACAGACCCATGACACATCCACTGCAAAAAGTAGAAATATAGACTAGTGCAGTTCACTTGATTTCAGTGTATCTAATAACGCAGTTTTTTTTTTTTACTCATGCAGGCTAAAGATGCTTAAGATAATATTACTTGTTATTAATATGTTTAAGTGGAAAAATTGATCCACTGTACATTTCCTCTAAGTACATTTCCTCTCATAGTAGCTAACCTTTGTTTTTTTGGAGCCAATTTTTGTAGTGAAGTCTTTGCTGTATTTATTATAATGTTGATACAAAGCTTGTAAAAACCCCAATTAAAACATCTAAATAAATAAACTCGACGTATGTCACTGTGCATGTGATGAGTGTTTGTCATTGGTTTCACATTTTCAGTGATTTTACAGAAATAATTACATTTTTGAACAATATTCTAATTTCCCCCGGTTTCACCAGTGTTTCACAAGCCTTGTACAACTGACTTGTGTTTGCATAAGAACATCTTGTGATATAATCTTATATCACAAACTACCGCGTTCATATTGTGCATGATGCTCTATTCTCTACATTGCTGAATTTAAATGCAAAATGGCAATTTTATCCAATAATATGAGAACTCTGAAATAAGTTATTGACAAAGGTGAAGGAAACCACACTTACCTCCACTGTGTTTGTTAGTTCCTTAAGAATGTAGCTGAATATAAATGCATACAGTAATTGGTTCCAGTCTGATTCGTACGATTGTAGTATAGTTTTAGCAGTTTACCCCGTAACACCTGTTTCTGTCTATTTTGCAATGTAGCAGGTAGAATATAGTACTGTACCAGTCGCCCACAGAAGGAAATGTTTCCAGGAAATGGATGTTTAAAGGTGGTCTAAGCAAAAGTACAAACCCACCACTATTCTCTATACTGGAGGATACTATCAAAGGCAGACAGGTCAAAATAGATTTGTTTTGCAAGCTCTAAAAGAAACAATTTCCATAAATATGTCTTTTACATATTTATTTATAAGACATATTGACGGACAATCTAGGAAATGGCAGAGAAAGAATTTTTTTTTATAGATTATTATAGGTTACTCTGAACCACAAAATGATTTGTGTAGATATATGAAAAAAAATCCAATCAGACACTCCAATAGATGACTGGCCTTTAGCTTTGTTAGGTTTATCCATGAGTTTAACAGTCACACAAGACCATTTTAATGTCAATAACTTAACTTTCAATATTATTATCAGCTCATATAATGATAATTGCATTTATTCTATATATTGAACCCAAAATGCAATAATGAATAGTTACATGGGGGGGAAAATGTATGTTTAGTCCAGTTTTGACTAATCCCAAACATAACTGAACTTATTCTGTTCTGAAAAGATTTACTTCAACATAATATCTAAACTAATGTCAATTAAAAGTAACCCTCTGGTCAAAACACTTCCATAATATACACAAAAACTAACAATAAATGTAAAAATAGTCCTCGTTAATCCAGTATTATAACCAGGTGCTCAGTGCTGCTCTCTGCTGGTGAAGGTGACAAAAGAAATCTGTCAATCTCAGAAGCTGACGACAGTTTTCAAACTAAAGTACATAATTCTGACACAATGACGCCTTTAATTCATTCACATTATAAGTAGCTATTTCAAAAGAAATTGCAATATCAATGTTATTATTTAAGTCCTCACATGTTACACAGAATTTGCACACAACGTTGTGATATCTGTAACTTCTGTGCATGGGTTGCAGAAAAAAAGAACTAGGACATGTCCTTGTGCGACTTTTTATTGTATTGGTTCACAGGCCAAAACATTTGCCACACATAGAACATCAGCATAAAATATAAGTTAGTATTAAAAACATTTTGCTTCTCTCTTTGGAAGAATTATCTTTGTACAAACATACAGGTGCTCAAACAAATCTACAAAGACATAAGGCATGATTCTCTTCGGAAACTTTCTGTTTGACTGTGTTGATAGTGGGTTGTGCTCTTTAATACTGTGCAGTATTGGCCTTTGGTGACAAACCAGTGGCAGGGGGTCACAAAGGGGACACAGCTGCCATCTCTGTGAAATTATTTAGAGCCTTTTGATCATGCCCCCAAAACCAACACCGATTGTGCATACAGAGGCACATTGCGATGTACTATGAGCCCGCATGACTTTGTCCACTGCCATTTGTTTGATTTATAAATTGTATAAACCCAAAGTAGAATCAAAGATGAGATTCCAGATTAAAACTACAGGCAAATTTTATCTTAGGTCCCAGAATAAAATTTGTTGCAACAATGTTACAAAATTTACATTTATAGGGAAGAATATCATACAGTGACTTTGGTTGGATAAACAAAGCACAACAGTTTATATGCACCAAAAGTGTCTCCACCACAAAATGTTGTTTTTTTTCCTTATTTTTTACTACTGTAGTTTTGGTGTTGTGGTTGCTGCTGCTTATCAAGTTGCTCATAATGTTGGGATATCAGCATTTTGAAAAAGAAAAAAATCTATGTACATTATCAGACACGAGAGGGGGCTTTAGTACAGTGGCAGTGCCCATGTTGTTTGTTTTTTGTTCTGAATATGTAAACAAGTCACACTTAGTCACAAGTCATGGTCACTGTGAGATGCCAAGCACAGATCACTCTGTTAAAAGTTAAAAGTATTGAGTCAAATGTGTTCTTTTTACAGCCGGTTCAAGGATGCTTGTTTTCATTGATGGGTGCCGTTTCTTTTATTGTCTCAGTCTGCACAATACTTTGTGCTGATGCTGCATGATCTTTATCACCCGGGCGCTTGTTTGTACAGCGCGAAAAGGGAGGATTTGGCCTGAGGTCACTACTATAGTCTATTCTCTGATAGGGCAAAATGAGCCCCCACTCTCACAGGCAACTCATATCACAGTGCACAGGTCAACTTTAAAGCTTGGCAACAAGCGGATCTCCGCTTTTGAGCTGCACAATCACTTTTATAAAGACATTCAACAAGTGGTCTTTTATGTTTTATCAGATTTCATCTTTGAGTGTCACCAGATATACAAACATAAAATGAGATTTGTGTCCAAATTAAAATTAAACTCCGTTCATTAAAGCGTATTCTTGGATGAGGTCTTGTCTAATCAACTTTATGTGCAAAAGATTTGCTCTTCAACCCAAAAAAGATCTTTCCTCATAAGGCTCTGAGTTTCTAAACATGTTTGTTGATCTCTGTGATGATAAAAGTTCCCTTACAACCACATGATGCTGTTTGTTGGGAGTCTGTCTAACTACAGTGATATAAACTGAACTGCAGACGCGCACAAACAAACTACTTTCTCTCCCCTACTTTCTCCAACCTTGAACAAATTCGTATGCACTGTTTGATTGATAAAAACTTCAATAGAAAAAAATGGTTCCAAAAATGACCATAGATTTTCATCAAGTAAAAACAGTTTATCTCCCTTCCATGCATTTTTTTGTATAGGTATAGAAACACATTTATAAAAACTACTTTTCCTCTTAAGTCTACAGTTGTCTACATCACATTATTTTTGCTTCTAAAAGTTTTTTTTCAGTATACATCTGGTAAATGTATATGCAGCTCTCTGTTCAACACCTGATTTCATAAGGAACAGAGTTTTAAATGTGTGTCTGTTCAACAGCTTCTGTTCGCTCACATATTCATACAGTGAGGTCATCTGACCTGGCCCTGCTACTGGCTTTACTCATTCGGCTCAGCGGTCTAGTGTCCTCTATCGTATCCGATGCCTCCATGTCATTTGCTGCTGTTTGCACTTCAACATCCTCATCAGCTAATTCCTCCATTCTCCCTTTCTCTGCCTCTGCTGACTTCACTTCCTCCTCATGTAAAATCACCCCCGTCGTCTCAGTGGTCTGGGCGTAAGACGGAAGGGTCTCATCATAAACCTTTGAGATATTCTCCATTGGCAGCCCCTCCTCTCCTTTCTCCTCCAGGCTTGGGAAAGCTGGGATGCCTCTCCCAGCCTCCATGCCCACTTCGGCCAGAGGATAGAGGTGCTGGAGAGGTACTGGAGAGGTCTTCTCCTCCTCCAGCAGCTTATAGCCCTTTGCTCTCTGCAGTGACGGCACTGCCAGTGGGGCTAGGCCTTTACCTTGAGGTGTGGGCAGAGCTAACCCCTCACCCTGTGCTGGGCCGGGTGCTGGCTTACGAAACACAAAACGGATTTTCTTCAAGCCCAAATGACTGATCTCCACAAAGTTGAGGAAGAGAGAAACGCATGCCACAGCTAGCATGAAGATGATGAAGACTGTCTTCTCCGTAGGACGGGATACAAAGCAGTCCACCGTGTTGGGGCAAGGCCAGCGACTGCATTTGTACAGTGGCAAGATGCGAAACCCGTACAGGAAGTACTGGCCAACCACAAAGCCCACCTCAAACAGTGTCTTAAAGATTATATGGCAAATGTATGTTCTAAGCAAGGTGCCCTCAAGCCTGAACTTCTTGCTTCCCTTGGTGCTGGTCTCCTTTGTAGTTCGGACACTGCCCTGATCGGGGGCAAGTGGCAGGCGCTCCTCGCTCACCTCTTGTTGCCGGCTTAGTTCTGCCTCCTCACGTTCCTTGCGTTTCTCCTCCATATGGACATGGTGCACCGCGTGGCCAACGTACACCAGTGATGGGGTGGACACAAAAATGATCTGCAGTACCCAAAGGCGAATGTGCGAGATTGGAAAGGCCTCATCGTAGCACACATTTTCACATCCAGGCTGCTGAGTGTTGCACACGTAGTCAGATTGCTCATCGCCCCAAACAAACTCAGCGGCGGTACCCAGGATAAGGATACGGAAAATGAACAGCACCGTGAGCCACACCCGGCCGATCACCGTAGAGTGCTCGTTGACTTCCTCTAAGATATTGCCCAGAAAGCTCCAGTCACCCATGATCGGTCCGTAGCACTGAAAGTGGAGAGTGGGGTAGGGAGGGTAACAGGGTGCACCCGAAACATGGGGTGGAGTGGTCAGGTAGGACGGACAAGGGGAGGGGGGAAGATAGTGTCAAAAGCAAGAAATGCTGAATGTGGGATTTAAATGTACTCTAACGTAACAATTATTTCATATGTGTAAAACGTGTATACATTGAAACGTTAACAGGCTTGGAATATGCTAAAACAACAAAAATCATTGTCAGATATTAAAAATAAAAAAACGTTCTATTTACATCGCCGCAGAAAAAGTGTGTTTGTCAAAATTCTAAGTATGTAATAAAATATAAAGTAGGCTAAAACAACAAATAGCATAGTCGCTTATAGATGTTCTTGTATTTAAAGTCTAAATCAAGAAAAAAGCCACAAATCTAAATCAAATATCTCATATCTCTATTCACTACATGCAGAGTTTAAAATTAAAATAAATGGGCAACTTGCCACAGCTGCGGCTCCGGCAAAGTTGAGTCCTGTCCCGTCCTCTTGGCACCCGACAGGGAGTAGTGAACTTTTTTCTGCCCTCTTTCCCACCTAAAGCCCTGTCCTTGTCGCCCCACTGAGCAGATGTGAATGAATTGGCTCTGATGGTTGGTTTTGAGTTAGCTGCAATATTTAAGCTTGGAGCCAGACGGCCTTTATTTGCGGGCGACGTGTGGTGACGCAGTAGACAATAGGATCAACCACGCCGGTGCAGGGATGTATGGGAGCAGGCCTCAGGCTTCCATACCAACATGGACACTGCACGGCCAGGGCACTGGGTCCATAACACCACTAGGCTGCTCCATTCAACTCCACATGTAGTGTATATGAAAACAGATACAGTGAAGAAAAGCAGTAGCCAATAGGCCGCCAGCTGTAGATATGCCCCGATAAACAGTGCCAAAGCAGTGGAGCAGGTCAGCGCCGAACCACCGGCTTTGGCCAACACCGAGGAGAGCTGTGTCCAGAGACCAGCTCTTACATGAAGACTGATGTTATGTTTACCACTGCATCATTTGTGCATCATGGACAACAACATGAGAAGGTTTAAATCTGTGTTCAGTGTCTCTCAGTCGGAATGCAAAGAATGCCTCAAATGAACACACTTGTGACTGGAGGGTAGTCAGACGTTCTTGGATCAAGCATGAATAACACTCTGAGGTGATCTTTGTTTGAAGGCCACCACATTATTGGACCTGCTTTTGTACTGTGGGGGGTTAATATGACATTAGTATTATCTATAATACCGTTATGAGTTGAACAGTATCTTATTATTTTTAAATAAAGAAATAAATACTTGTCACCAAGTAAATGTGTAAATTATTATATTACTAGTATTGGATTACTGAATGAAAACAAATGACGGCTCTAAATATATATAAATAATGATCAACTACAATTGTAATAATTAATATATTGTACCATGTTTATTGTATATTAAATAGAAAATACAAACAATTATATTCTATATATAATTGATTGTATTTTTTACAATACAGTATATATTCTGACACTAAAACTATCAGTTTGAATAAATATATGTACGTTTTTACAGTGGAGATAAAGAACTCCCTTATTTACAGATAATTATTCATATGACATGTAATTGGATCACTGTAAATGCCAATTGTAAATGTTTAAAATCTAATAACTATTAAATATGGCTAAACTTGAGAGGTCAAATGTCCCCAGGGGCGGCTCACACTTGGTGATCTTACTCCAAAAACACATAATTAATGATGGATAAAAGGAAAGGCCCATGTGCAGGGCGTGTCCGTGGATCACATTTATAACCTGTGGCACCAGCGCTGCCTTTAAACAGTTACGTGTTGGTATAATAAACGCGTGCATGCTAAGCCCTACGCTGAAGCCGTGCATAGCAGTAGGATTTCACACAAAGACATGATGTCATGATTTAGGGTGCGGACTCTTTTGAGCAGATGCAGTGAGGCGTAAGCTTCGATTGGAAGCCAGCGTAGAGACCAACAGACCCTTAATCAGATAGTTATCAAGTGAACAATCATAACTCTGTGCTCTGCATATAACGGTCACAAAACTCTTTTCCATTCAAAGCCTTCACCACCAGGAAGCAACACAAAACTGCTGATCTAACTTTATTCTTTTAAAATTCATACAGAATTATTTTCGCTAGGGAAAATAAGTAACTTTCTGGACTTTGCAACAGAAGACATAAAAGAATAAAGGAAGAATAAAAGTGATGTCTCTACACTATGAAAAGAATCCCTGGAATAACCTATGGCTACTGTGCTTTGTTTCCTCTATTCTCGTATTTAAATCACATGAATTGTGTGTCATGAAAGTTGCACAGAAAAGAGTCTTTCAGCTGCAGTTAGAGAGATGCCATCAGCGATGGCCTTCACAGATACAGCGTGACCTGGGGCAGCGCTGCGTCCCATGACACAGAGGCGCGCTAAGACCTCAATGGTGCCGGCTTTAAGACACTTACACACTTGTTTGTTTGGTGTCAAACACAATGCTTACATATTTGAACTCATATTTGAAAGTGCCATCAGTTTCTTTGTCAACGCAGTGACCTGTTTTTCAGAGTTTTTCAAAGTTAAAACCTGGTTTTGTCTGTGGAGGTGTTGCCCTCATGAATCATTGGTTTAGAGACCGCTCTGTTTGAATCTATTCTAATAGAAATAGAAATTAAACAAATAGAAATGCAAAAAATTAATAATTAGACAGAAAGAAATTGCAAAAACTACAAATTGATGATTGGAAATGTTACAAATATTTTTTCTTAACTGAGGATTCACTGCAGTCTGTAGTTGCAGTCAAGAGAAGTGCATTTGCTTCAGGACTCCCCAGAGAAAGATGTAATCTCCGTAGTCCAGTTTAAATGAAGGTCAATGAAATAGAAAATGACACTCAACTGACACAAATGACAAGGGCTGAGAGAATGTGACTAAACTGTTCTCATAAGCAGAGGAAGAAAATAGTGGAAGGCCCATTTCCTCTGTATGTGGCAGTGGGCAGCAAGGACAGAGCACAGGGTGGACGTGCGACACAATGGAGATATTTGGGCGTAGTAGACGAGTGCTTAACGCCGCGAGCGCAGTGTGTGAGTGCAACAGTGCAAGCCCTCGATGGCTCCGGTGAGAAGCTAGATAATAATTCAACTCAAACAGGAAGTTGAAGGAAATGTCTGCCGTCGTGTTGTTTGCCGGACACACTTTCCCACAATCTCTTTGCCCTTTTTTGATTTCAATGGCATTATGCTGACCTTTCCAACACAAGGGTCTAGGTAAACGCATCTATCTGACTAAGTGTAAGGAGTCAGAGTTATATTATTAGATTATCATAATGTGCAATATAGAACCACATGTGTCCTCTGTCACCTTACTTTCTCCATACCCACAGATATGGGGTATGGAATACATACAACTAGGCATTTCTTGCACTAGAATATACAGTATTTTGTACCTGCTTCTTCAATATGCTAATGTTCAAATTTGCTTCCTTATTATGCTAAAGCTAGATATTGTATACTTGCTTCTTTATCATGCTAAAGTTTAGAGTATTTTATTTAGCATAGAGTTATTGTTCATCTATTTTGTGCTGTGTGCTCCTCATTCCTGTGACTGGTGATACAACACTGAAATTTCCTCTAATTATTCTGGGACATATAAAGAATCTCTTCATCTTAAAAGCCAACTCACCTAGCTGTATAATTAAATGATTTTTGTACCTATGACCCATTTTTAGGTGGCTTGTGGAAGTGTAGAAGGTTTATGCTTAAAACAGGGAGTGTGTGCTTAAAACTGGGCTTAAACTATGTAAAGAAGTGACTTTTCCGACGCAGGAGGAAACACCCACCTTGTTTCTATGAGAGGAACCCATCGCCTGCCACAGGATGATTTGAGGCGGCCACATCCACCAAGTCCGACCGCTGCCTCTCACAATGTTATCTGCGGATAGGAGCGCTGGAGCGTACACTGCCCGGCGGCCACGTCAACTTCTCACACACTTTCACCCTGTGGGACAAATCATTTATTGTTAGCAGTCTATTATAGCTTCCTTAAAATGAAGCGGCTCTTTTTAACTACAGACGAGGACAGAAGCCAAACTTCAGCGTGCGGTCAAGTTAGGCGGAAACACACTTAGACGCTGGTTCTTTGCGTTGGTTTTGTAAACAAGTCAACTCAGAAACATGTGATGAGTTTTTGATGCTCTGGAGCAGACCCTAAAACACACAAAGAACAGACTTTGTGAGCCGACAGAATTATAATTGTGAAATGACTAAATTAAACAAATTATAAAAGATGTATTTCTTTATTTGTACTTTTCTTCTGTCTCTGGACCTCCGGTCACCAAAGTTCAACCTTATTTGTTTTTTAAATGTTTAAACTTTGAATGAACTATAAAAACAATTGTATAGCCTCAAGACTTAATTTGTGAATAGTAGTCAATTGAAAAGTTTTATAGTTGCAACTGAAAATCGACTGTTGATTGTAATTTTACTCATTAGAAATACATACGCAACAAAAAGGTATAAACTGAAAAAAGTATTTGCAAAATGGCTTTGGCAAGCAATGCCATATCTATAGGCCAAAGATAAAAAGGTTTTCAGTCATACCTGCAAATCTCCACAAAATCACCAAAGTTGTATTTATATTTATGATTTTGGTACTTAGCGTAAAGGTTTGCCTGAAA